ATCCTGAAGCACAAGATTTGATTACCCCTTGCTTAGCATGGAAATATTGGTTTTGGCCATTAAATTATTCAGTCCCTTTTTAAAAACTAGGTATTTTGTTTGATTCTGTGCCTTCCTGTGGCGATGAACGCCACAGAGTGGGGCATGCTGTGTGAGCTAAATGTTCCTTTTGTTTCAAGCTGACCTGCTTCTCTCTGTGGTGCATGCCCTGTTGCTCCCGTTTCTTGGACAGAGTGGAGAGGAGGCTGGCTCCTCCACTGCACCCCTCCAGTCTGAAAAACTACAGTTTAAATACTCTTCTGTCAGTGCCATGCTCCTAGTTGGGCAGTTCTACTTTAAATAAAACCCTGTCTTCCTATTCCAGTATGTCTTGAACTGGTTTTAACTCTCATGATAACTTTAATGCATCAAAACTGAACTGGTTTTACCACTGTGTGATAAATAGTCATTAATAAGAACTGCATCCAACTGTGCAGTTCCCTTTCTGTTATAAGTGCTCAAGAAAGCTGCACATTATTCCTACACGACTGCTGTACCCAAGGATACTGTACATTCAAACCCAGCCAACACATGTAGAGAACACAGACTCTTTGGTGACCACCTCTCTGGATGACAAGGATTGAGAAGTACCCACTGTCATAAAGTCACCAAAATGAATCTTTCCTACTTGCATCAAATGTTAGAGACAGCAAATTCGTTAGCAATGGCAGTTTCATCAGTAGGCAACTGAGAATCTGCCGGATTCAGTAAGGGTTTGTTAGTAACTTCATTAGTGCCTGTAGCAGCTAATGGAGAGGAACAAGGTAAATGCATGGTTAACAGCTTCCCTTTCACATAAGGGACATATGGTTTCTGATAACAGAGTAGTAAAAGCCTTGCAGTGGGTTAGTTTGCTGTTTGAGTTACTGAGTGTTTTACCATGAAGCATCCTTGTAAGACAGGGTTTCACCAGTCCAGCTACATCAGCAGTCTGTAAGAACTGTTGATTCCTCTTAGCTTAGCCACAAAGTTCGGGACATAGCAAAAAGATTAACGCTCCTGAACAGAAATACTCCATTTAACCTTGAATTTGATGAATTAAGGAAGGATAAGGAGGTTTTTTACATGTGTGTGAGAGTATTTATTTATGAATCTCTCCCTATAGCTATATATAGGCACAGATATATATTAAAAGGCCCCCAAAGGACCTGCAAATTTAGTGAATTCTACCAGTTACAATTAAAGTAAAATATATGCTATATATTTATTATTAATATCCAAACCAAAGCAAACTGTGGTTGTAGTACAGTATTAACAGGAAATATCCAGCCTATTAGTTAGTGAAACATATCTGCCTGAGCTACTGCTTGGGAATTTTTAATGTATCCAGCTGAGTTCCTGGTTTAAGTACTTTAGAGTTTCTTCTTCACAGAAGGCATCTCCTTTTAGACTCTTTTCTGTTACTAATGCATTATCTCTTTACTGTGCATCAGGAATGATTCCTCCTCTCTTTTAACAACCTGAGTGTCACAGCAACCTAATTACTAGGCAGATATTCAGAGGGGAATTCAAAACATGGCACTGGGAACTGGACTGTTAACTGATGAAAAAACTCCCTCAGAGTGTGCCAGTGCACATTCACACATGCACACACTTCATACATCGTGGTTTAGGGACCAGCTTGAGCTGTGGGCATTGTGATGACAAATCTAGCTACTTGTGCTCATTTCTCCAGGTTGTTCTTTCTCCTGAGCAAGGCTCTTTCCTGGCTGAAAACTGCCTTCACTTCTGGGAAACAAGTTAAATTCCCTCTTTGGGAGAGACTGAGCAGAATGTGGGAGATTTTACGGTGACCTGCTCAACTGTATGAAACTGTTCCAGCAATGTCAAGTGTTACACAGCGCTTTCAGGGTTTCAGCTCAAGTTCCTGTGCTACAGGAAGCTCCTAGGATACTGGCTGCCCGCAGACAGCAATGTTTGCTGAGCTCCAGCGAGTGACAGCAGCTCTGCGCGGCCGCTCAGCTCACCCCTCCTGCCTCCCATGGGGAACCTCACATGCTCTTAACCTGCCATTCGAAAGGCTTTGAGGCACAGACACTGTCACAACTTTGATCTCGCACACAGGAAAAACAGGGTTGCAAAACAGAGTGAATGGGGAGAAGCGCTGCGTTGAAAATAACACTAAAACCTGTTAAATTCTCACATGGGTAAGATTTAAACAGCCTCTGGGAGTGGTTAAACTGGGTAGGGAAGCTGGGGTTTTCAGTATTTCCACAGCCAGACACCTTCAATGTACCATTTCTGTTTGGCATGTCAGATGTTTGGATAGGATATAAAAATGGGCTTCCTCGAGCATCCTCGCAAACAAAGCACCGGGCAGCGAGCCGCCTGGCAGGCCTCTGATGGGGGGCTCATTTCCCAGCAGTAGCTGGGACAAGACATTTCAAGAGAAGGCAGAGGAAACCCAACCCGGGCAGTTGCAGAGTATTTGCTCACCAGAAGTATTTTCCTCTCCCATTCAGAGTGGTTTCTGGCTCTCCAGGCCTTGGAGTTTTTAGTACCTCTTTTGTTTCTCTTTTAAATGCATGTGTGGTCATTATCCATATAAATGTCACTATCGTGATCTCTTTGAGCTATTATCTTTCCAATGAAAACAACTGCAATCTTTTTCATCTCCTTTCAGATAGAAGCATTTCCAGGCTCCTAAAGTATTTCTGGCGTGTGGAGGACAGCGTCTCCACGGGTGCCGCTTGAAGGGGCTGGTAACCATGCTGTAATCTGTGGTTGTGCTTTGCTGGCACCCACTTGCAGCCTCGAACGAGCCCAGAGAGAGCAAAGGCTCTTCTGTAGGGTCCCAGCAAATAATCTCAGCCCCGTCTTCATGCAACAGTTCACCACAGACACGCATCTGAGAGCATTTGCAGCAGATTCAGCTTGTAGCTGGGCTGCGCGACAGCTCGTCTGTGTTAAACTATTGCTCTACTGAGACCTCTAGAGCCACACGGGAGCTGACCTCAGCGTTTCGCTGCTGCTCAGCACATAAACTCGGTGTTTTCCCCCCGAGCATCTGCTCTTCAGAGCCGGTTCAGGCTCCAGAGAGCGTTTTCTGTCTCTGACCTGAAGAGGGCACGGGTGGAGCCTGCGTTCCCTTGTCCATGTTAGCCACTCTGCAGCCTCTACAGGGCAAGGGCCATCCCAAGCTCTTGTTGGGATTATTTTCCAGTTCTTAGATATTTGGCTCGAAACTATCCTTGGCTTCAGCCATTTAAAAATGCTGGCTGAATCCTTCAGTTTGGTTTGGGGATATTCAGAGTCTCTGTGGTTTCTATTCTATGCCTTCTTTTCCTGTTTTGGGAGATGGAATTATTTCAGCATAGGACGGGCTTTGACTGCTTGATTTATTTAAGCCCCTTTTAATAGAGTGTCAGTGTGACAGCTTTTGGCAGTGTTCCTCTGCCTCTCCTGTTAAAGTTGATTAAGCTGTTGTCACCATTAATTCACAGTTCGTCTATATTTACCTCTCCAATGCTCCCATGGAGTGCTTAGCCCTAAGTCGAGCACAGCCTCACTCCCCAGGTTTAAACTCCAAGAAGCAGTTGCACAAACCGGTGAGGAATTGCTGTTGCAAATGGTGGTTTATGGTGTTGGAATGCCTTGTGCAGTGGTGGAGGAAGACACCTGTGAGAGATCGGAGCTGGGGTTTAGTTCATTTTTAGTACACTTGCAGTGCTTTTTGCTCAGTATCTCTTTCCAGCCCATGTATTATTTCTTTCCAGTGATGTGTGATAAAACATGCAGGGGTGTTTTTATCCCTGCACCTCAGGACCTGTACCTGTGAAGGTACCCTTCAGCAGGGTGGCTCTCAAACACACAGGTGGTTTTTCTTGTGTCTGGATGTTCTAGTGTTGCCCAAAGATCTGCTGCTTAAGTTTAGCAAAGGCTCCAGAGGCAGCAGAGTGTATATGGTGAATATAGCATCCATACAGCCCACACATTTGACAGGGTAACAATGGGCTTTGGAGGAAAAGGCCGCTTGTCACAACTACTGTAGGAAGGTAAAAGGTCCAGCCTCTACCTATTTACTGAGTTACAGAGTTAGTGTAATACAGCCCAAAAAGAGGCTTGTACATGAGCACCATGTCTTTGGTCCCATCTTCTGCACCATGCCATCTCTTTGGCTGTAAATGGCCAAAAGTCAGCTCTCTCATCCCTTGGTGGGATGGTCCCATTGCAGCAGGGAGGAAGCACTGAAGGTTCTCTGCTCCACTGGTGGCAGATGGGAGTGGGTTGGTGAGGATCTTCCTCTGTGAAGAAGTCAGTCCTTGGTGAGGACCGCACAAGGACTCAGTCTTCGGTGAGGACTGCCCCAGGGCTCCTGTGCTGGCCCCAGTCCCAGGTGTCTGGTGGGGATTTTTCACCTCTCAGGTATAGCCAGTTCTCAGGCTTATGCTGAGCAGTGCCGCCACAAGCAGACACTTACTCAGGCTTTTATTTAGAGGACAGTACCAACTGTTGCAGTTAAAGCTGTATTTCTAAGTCTAAAAAAAATCCTACATGAGGAATAACTGAAGCTAATGCTTTTCTTTGTCATAGCTGCAACTTGGGGGCAAAGCTTTATTTACCCTGTTACAACTACGAAGGCACTAAAACAATTTACTTGCATTTACTCACTTTAACTATATTTTCCACTTCTGTTTCCTGGACATGCATCTCAGCTCACAGAATCCTAACTGAAAGCAGAACTGTGTTGAAGTTGCTTGCTGAGAAGTGGTGTCATTTTGATCCTGTCATTATGGCTAGTACAGGAGCTCAGTGGAAAGGAATACAAATCCTTTTCTGTTTCCTCCTAATGAAGACCTGAAAGCAGCACTACATCTGTTATCTTTCTTTTTCAACGTAATTTCTGCCTGAAAAATAAATGTTTCTATAGTCCTGTATTATGGAAATAGCACCTTTCAAGTATTTCATTTTCCCATATTGTGATGTGATACGTGAAATTTTTCTGTCTTTTCTTTTTCTAGGCTTGCTCCCAACATAATCTCTCCACTTGTCAGCCCCCTGAAAGCATTAGTTCCACCTTCACTATTGCAGAAACATGGTTCTCCATCATCACACAGCCAGTCACCAAATGGGCAGCAATTTTCTGGGATACCAAATAAACCATACACGCAATTTCAAAACCAGTCTGTACAGCAGGGATCTCAAGGTAACTCTTCCCTCTTTTCCTTCTTTTCCTAATTTCTAGGTGGGGAGAAAGAATTTGTTGCAGTTTTTGCATTTTTGGTCAATACTGATATATTGGCTGAAATACACGTTTTATATACTATACAATAATACAATTATTAAGACACTGACAGCATTTCAATGGGAACTCCAGTTTTTAAAGCGGTTTGATACACATACAGAGCAAAGCATTTAGACCAGCTCATGTTATGATATGGTATCCTAACAGGGGAAGTTTCCCCACTGCAGATCTCTTGCACTTAGGCTTTTCAGTAGGTTGCTACTAGCCATGCACCTCATCTGATCATCCAGATGAGCAGATGAGGATTGTCATCCAGCCTTCCATCAGCTTGGTGAGAGGGACTCTGCCAGAGCCAGAGCCATCTAGTCCCAAAGTATATGGGCTGCAGGAGACCTTGGCAGTGTCCTCCCAGTCCACTGATAGTGATGCACTAAACATGAATTTAGAGCAATAGTTTGCTATTTCTTATTTGGAAGTTGAGCACCTGTGTTATTTTATACGCTAATATGCCAAGGCGCAAAGTACCAGTGTGATCCGAGGACAGGAATGACAGCAGCTAAGCACTAAACAGCTGTCCCACTGCTTAATTTAAACCACTTTTCAATCTGGATTACCCAGTCTTTTTCATCGGGAGCTTATTTACCTATTGCAGAGTTGGGCTGTGGGAACAAAGTAATGGTTCTGCAGTTTCTGAAGCATAAATTAGCAAGAGATATTATTATCAAAGATGCTTCCAGTGACAGGAGCTTGCATATTTGAGAACTCTGTTCTATAATCCAGATGGAATGCTGCTTAAGTGTGGTAAATAGCCACAACAAAGAAGAGTGTAGGACATGTCTGGCTGCAAGAATAACCAAGCATGTAAGTTTATGCAGGCAGACAAGCAGCTTTTGGGAACTTGTTTCACAGCTGTACTGTCACTTATATAAGGTAATTTTTGGCTGGCAAAGTATCACATGTGATCTGTTTACCAGTGGGCAAAATGGGTGGTTTGGTTTCTCTAAATAGATGCGAAGGGTAGGTCTGAAACCCAGGGCCTGAGCACAAACCCAGTGAGCACATCACAGCTGTAGCAGGGTTCAGTATCCCAGCGGTTCCCTCAGACTTTCCTTCTCCGAGGCGCATTTTTGCTCTTTGGTTGGATTGACTTAGTCTGAAAAGTTAAAGCATATTATAGGAAACGATTTGTGCTGAAGGAAAAACTAACTCAACCTGATGCTCAACAGATTATTCAATTTAAAAAGATTAACTCTAAGGGAAAAGTGGCAGATTTATGATAGCGTATAATGATATATGATTATGTTACTATAATGAGCTAAATAGCTACAAACCACAAGAGGAAAGTTTAGCAGCTCATTACTATGGCAGAAACAAATGCATAGACAGAACAAGTTTTGAACCACTTAAATAAATTGACTTTATTCCTTAAGAAAACCACATTTCCTTTTGAATGAATTGTTGCTTTCTAAGTGTTATGTTGTGTGGTTTTGAAAAAGCCATAATTTTCCACTTTGACCAAATGTTGAAGTATTACTATAAATTCATTATGGAAATGGTCAATCAAAAATCAATTTTGATTAGCAGCCTTTGAAATCAGTTCATGTGTAACCTGTACTTAGCTGCGCTGGCTCTGTGTCTTTTTTTGCATCTCAGTTCATTAACAGCACACTGTTCTAATGGAATCTGTAGTAATCTGTGAGTTTTGACCTTTTGGGACATTATATACATCTTTGTGTGGAACTCTGCATCTATGTAGAAGCATAGAAACACTGTGGATGTGAAATGTTTAGAAGACAGCGAGCTTCATCGAGCTGGTAGCAGATATATTGATAATGAAAGAATAAGCTGACCTTACTTAAATGTTTAAACCTAGTTGTAGTAAGATCACATGGAAATTATTACATGCTGAAAGAATTTGGCAGGCAATGGAATCCTGTAGTTATTTATATCTGACATGACTTCTTGTCAGAAGTTTTATGGAATTTGAAAAGCTGAGATTTATTTGCACATACATGTAAATGACATGACATAACACGATGGCATTTAATAGGCATATTTCAGTTATTTGCTCATTACATCATTCATTTGAAAGCCGCTTGAAGTTTCCTAGGCTGTGCCTTAGAGAACCAGAGGCAGGCAGTGCACCGTGTGAAGTGGTTAACTGCAGCTTTTCTGTCACAAATTATTTCAAAGCAAATTTTTAACTCAGTGTTATGTTTGGAACTCGGCTTATTCCTTTATTAACTGCTATATTTCTACATCTACTGTCCATAAACCATTTCATAGTGATCCCTTAAACTGACAGGACATTTAGTCAATTCTTCACTTGAAAATGAACCTCAGAAAACTTTTGACTGAAATCAAAACTGAAGGAAAACCTGAAATCCATGTGGAAAAACAAATATTGGCGAAACACTGGTTGCCAAATGGGTATTACACTTCTGCGCTCCGAGAAGGAGCAGGCTCTTTGCACCAGACAAGCCTTCTTGCTTACTTCATATTAACCACTGAAGGAAGTCTTTTTCAAGAACTAGTAAAAACTACTCCATGTTTAGTTTACTCTGATCCATATGTGGTTGTTAATTGAACCGTTAGTTATGGGATATTAATCACGATTCCTAATACTTTCTGTGTAAACCATTTGAAGAAATCCAGAGGAACCACAACTAAATGGCATGAACCAAAAGCACCCTTGTTTCATACTGCACATTTTAGAGGTGTTATAAGTGCAGTAAGGCTCTGACTTGTACTATATATGCAAATCAAACATTGTAGTGCCTGCGAGCAACAAGTTTCATTTCCTGTGGTTGTGTAAAATGAATGAAACCTTATCTGGCAAGAGCAGCCGTTGTTACAAAAGTCCTTGTGGTTGCTTTAACTCACATGGCCTTTCCATCTCTTGTCTAACTACTTTGGGGTTTGGGAACACTTAGTGTTTAAACAAGCTGGCAGTTTTCCCTTTTTAATAGTATGAAAGATGTGTGAGGCTCAGCTCCTCTGAACAGCCTGACTGGCCTCTTGGCCCATGCTGTGCTACTGAAGGCCATCACGAAGAGCCAACCTACCTGGTACCAAAAGAAACTCTCTGATTGTTCCCCTGAAGCAGGGGGTGGAATATAGAAAGTATGTAAAAAGTCGTGAAAACAGTCTAACTGACATAGCAACTCACTGATCCTGCAGTCCTTCAACCTGGAGGCATGCAGTTTCACTCGCTCCAAGACTCATTTCCACCTTCCAAGATTAACATTCAGCTGGCTACATTCTGAAACACAGGTTTTAATACAACAAGCACAATTCTTCCTACCCAGCCTCTACCATTCTAATAGGGTCCCACTGTCTCATCATTTCTCTGAAGCTGATGGAAAAGGAAGCTTTCACTATAGTGCTGAGGTCAGAAGGATTAGTAAGTCCCATTTTTAGTGCCATGGTTTGTTTTACGTGACCAGTGACCAACACTGCAACCTTTCCCTTCCTCATGCTGACGTCTTTAGTTCGCTACTTGCATTTATCACATCTTCAATCACATTAGAATTGGAATGCTGCATTTCTCTGTATTTCCTTCAGGAAGCACTAAGGAGAAATTTGCTCCTGGTCATTACAACAGTGAAGTAACACTAGTATTTTCCTACATTGTGTCTCTTCACTGGATAGTTCCAGTCACTCTTTTGTGTGCTGCCCTTTCAGATCATCACACAGTGATGCTGAGGGACAGATGCTGCAGCCCAATGGAGAGTTTGAATGCTTATGGAGCATTTTAGTTCTCTCCAGCCTTCTGATTCTGAGGCAGTTCTGTGCCTCAGGTATGTTTTCCTGAGCAGCTAGACAGTGAAACTGAAAACACTTCAAAAGAAATCTTTACCCCTAGGTCTTGAGAAAACCCGGGATCCAACTAGTTTCAATCCGGTTCTGCCAGGCTTGGCTGTTCTCTGATTTTCTGAGTCACTGTGCCAGCCCTGTAGATCATAAAGATGTTTAATAGAGCTAACAAAGGCAAGCCTGGGAGCGTGACAAAAGGGCAGCAATTACAGAGACAGAGAAAATACACGTCATGCCTTCCCTAGAAGTGATGTGTATAGCAGACTTCCTGGAAGAGGTTCACTTTTTTCGCTAGCAGTGCATATAAGTGCTCTCTGCAACCAGTTACACCTCGCCTGAAGCCAAGTGTCTCATTTTTTTTCACTGTTCATCTCAGAAGGAGGTATTTTTAGAAGGTTTATAGCAGGGAGTTCATATTTTGTAAACAGAAAAGTCAGCATAATTATCAAAAGCCAATCAATAAAGCCCTGTACCTAAAACCACATCAAAAGATGGCTTTGCTACCTCTCAAAAGAGCTCTTTGGCTGGTTGAGCCAGACTCTCCAGGCAGTAAATAGAGGTGGCTGTCTATTTATTCCAAGGAAGGACATGCATCATTTAATACTCAGCTTTCCAAATTTCTCAGCCTTCTTCTATGTAGCAGCAAATACAAACAGCTTTGGTACAGTGTGTGTAGTGTCTTTATCTAACACAGCCATCCATTAGTACTTCACCAATCATGGATATCAACAGTTTAGGTATTTTGTGGTGGAGGATTACAGGTTCTTAAGAAATGAATCATCTAATCCATGCAGGTTCTGCCAAAACACATATGAAACTGTGAAACTCCAGAGCAAATCTTTCCCCATTCGATGAGTTCGTTGTATTTTCACTAAAGAATTGCCTCAGCCTTATTTATTACCACCTTAGAAAACATGACCAGACTGAACAGATGCTGCCTATCTCCTTGCTCAAACTTTGGAATTAAAGGGAAAATGCAGAAAAAGACAGGGGATCTTTCTTAACAGGAAAAACCTCAGACACTGCATGACTTGTAAGGGACAAATCCCCCCTGTACAGCGCCCAGGCTCTGGTGATAGGCCCAGGTATTTCATTTCTAAACAACCACACTGAATAGCTGCACAACCAGCCCAGCAAGTCACTGCTGAGTGGGGCTGTGCTGGCTTCTGTCAGCGGCTGATGTGGTTGTGTCTGTTTGGCTGAACTACCTGGTTCCTTAGGAAACATTTCAGTCTGAGTAAGGCCGAGGGAAGAAAGGCAACAGCTCTCTATTTTTCCTGGCAAACAGAGGAAAATCCTGATAGCACGTTCTACTAAACTTAAAGCCTGACTTGGTTGACTTCAGTTGCATGTAAGGGAAGGAGCATCATTTCAGAGGGGACTTTGAGAGAAGGTAAGGAAACAGACAGTTAATATGACTGTGCAAATAGTGTGTGATGCACCTGGAATCAGGAAGAGGTTATTGAGGCAGGAGGAAGGAAAATCATTAAATCAGGCCATGGTTGGTATACAACTTGTGGCATGCTTTGAGGTTGTCCTTAAGGGAGCAAATAACATTTTCTTTTAGGATGTTGGCACATACTTCCAAGTTGTAAAATTCCTTCCTCAGCAATTCATTTGTCCTTTACTGTTACCTGCTTTCCTTTGTTGTGCACAAGTCACAGTTTCTGCTGGCAAAACCCAAAGTACGTAGCTTTGAACACAAGTGGGCTATTGACTGGGTTCAGCTGATCTGCTACTTGAAATGAAGCACATCCCTGCTTGATGGGGATCAGAGTCCACAGCCCCTTATGGGAATGAGTCTGATGTAGCTTCTATATTATTACGCCTTATAGAACAACGTGATCATTATTCCATAGTTTAAACTGAGGGACTAAAAACCCCCACAATAGTAATGAAATACTGTGACAGAAATAGATCTAATACCATTACAGTGGTGTTAAAATGTGTGTGTGATATCTGTTTTCAGGTTACCAAGGCAGCTTTCACTCTATACAAAACTGTTTCCACTATGGAGACTGCTACAGAACAATGGACCAGTCTGTCACCAGTGATGTCCTCACAGGGGAATCCCACTGCTTTAATCCTCTGAGACAGAATGGCTATCACATACTCAATGCACCTTTAGCTTCAACAGGTAATTTATTCTGCCTATAAAGAACTACCTATGTGATATTTTTAGGAGGAGGGGAAAAGAACACATTTTATAGCCAATGTTATTACAAAAATATACTTGCATAAAAAACTCAGTCACTGAAATTCATTTGCATCTATAAAAATCCCAGGAGAAAAGCTAATTTATTTTCTTTAGTCCTGCTGCATTTGACTGATGGACAGTCAAATTCTCCTTTCATTCTGCTGGATGTCACAGGCAGCACACACCTTCAGGAGAGCTGACAAGCAAGACACCTCTCACATTTATTGTGTGGGCTATTCATGGTTCATCCTCTGCAGGTACGCTCAGGAAGGCTTTTATAGTCAAAGTTAAGAAGATAGATAGTTAACACAACTCTGAAGAAAACAGCGGCAGCAGGGACTTTTATTCCTTCGAAGCAGGAATCAAAGGGTGGCTTTGTTTCGCAATCCCGATGTTTACAAAATGGGAACGCGCTGCTTCGATAAATTCAGCTAAAAAGACCAGTTTGGTTTTGTTCAGCAGTTCCTTTGTGTTTGTGCTTTGCACATCCATGGCAATTGTGTTTTCCCATTTAACTACTTATTTGCATAACGTATAATTTACAACAAGTTATGGTAGCTGGATTACTGTGGTGCTTCAGGATTGAAGTATTCATTTGTGTAAAGCATTGTTCTCTGCTTTTAAAACCACAATTAAGATTTGACAGACTTACTGAAATCAAACAAAATGTGAGTACATCAGAACCATGAAACACCATTTACTGGTCTCTTTACTCACACATCTCTGAGATACTTGTCTTCATTTCTGAATTCAGGAGGGCATCTCGGTTAAGGACAATACTGGAAACATATGTTTAAATGCTTTTTGAAATGGGGCCTGAGTCAGACCACAAAATTAGAGTTGACTTTCCTGTTTGTTTTGTATTAAAGGAGCGTCTGTTCAGAGAGAGCGGGCGTGCATTTGTCTGATGTTCCCCACTAGAGAAGTGTATGCATCGGTAACGAGCACAAGGGGAAAGTTTAAGATGAAGTTTCAGCTTCAACTTTGAATTCTTTTGTGTTATTCATAAGTTTGATGTTACCAAAACACAGTTTTTTCATGTTAACATCAGATTTCAAGTTGAGATTGACAGCCTGCAATATTTAAAGAGCAGACTAAATAAACTTTCCTAAAGAAATTGTAGGAGCAAAGAATAATACTATGGCAAGACACCAACTTCAACAACAGTTGATTTTTCTGTCTGGGGCTACGCTAGTAAGAAATGTTTCTGTGTAGTATTTTTGGGTTTAGAGTGGTTATTGAGGTATGCAAATACTTAAAAGGCTGAAACATAAATATATATGAAGCATATAAATCTTATCTTTTTGTGTGTAAAATAGAACCATTCAGGTTTGCAAGATTCATCAAGGCTATGCATTAATTTTTGTGCAGGCTTTTATAGCACCATTAATATTAAATGAGATCTCATCTCCCAGGAATGCCAAATGTGACTGGCAAACAGCTGCTCCATGAATCATATTAACAGTCAATAAATTCTTATTTTCTGGTCTGGACTTTGGATACTTTACTCTATCTGGAATCTAATAATGATTTCTGGGGTGTATGCTTCTCTTTGTGGTTGTGTATCTACCCTGTATACAGGCTCCTCAAATGGAAATCAGCGTAACAGAAACACTTGCAGAGTCTATCAAAATACTGCTCACTCCATTTGGAGTGGCGCAGCATAAGGCAGATAAACAGGCTGAGTTCCCTGTCCAGAGACTTTGGATATAAACAGGCTGAGTTCCTTGTCCAGAGACTTTGGACATGTGCTGCATGCCAGGTTTGTGCAGACAAGCAGAATCTGACCTGTAAACTAACAGTGAATTCATACATCAGAGGAAAATGCAGCAATGTAAGTAAGTAGAGAATTAGGTCTCAGATAATAAAAACATACCTAACAGTAAAATACCTGTATTTAAGTTCTAAAGACTGAGCTGATGGGGCTTTCTGAAACCAGGCCTGGCTGTGTAAGCCCCGAGGATCTGTCACTACTGCTGGCAGCGCGGTGCTGCACAGCCCAGAGGCCTCAGTTAAGCCCATGCAGCATTTGATTTAGCCACATCCAGACATACTTACCTGCGGAGTGAGGCAGGTGGAAGAGGTGAGAGAAAGGCTAAAAAGAAGCAAGAGCCCCATTTTCCACATAGGGAACTGAGGCACAGAATAACAGTTGTCTCCCAACAGCTCCACAGAGGATGTGAGCAGGTATTGGTGCTGTAACCATGAGGGTCAGCCATCCAAAAGTGGACTTGAGTTCACAGGAATGTGATTTGTAAAAGATGCATTTTCTACATCAAGCACTCAGTTCACAGGCATGTTCTTAACTAGAACAAAAAGCAGGTTCCAGTGGGGCATAATAGGAAATGTTCCTGACCTTTGAGATGAGCAATAACCCCGTTGTTTCAACTCCCTGGCATTCCAGCTGCCATAGCGCCTGGTAGCAGGCAAAGCTGCTCATTTCCACAGGGATGCACAGCCCAGGGAGGCTCAAAAAGCTGTGGAAGTAAGTTTTGCACTGTAAAAGCAGAAGGGCAGAGAAATTTTTCCTCCCCATAGTGGCTTTGTAGTAGCCTGGCAAGCACCAGGGCCAGGTGAGGAGCTGGCAGCATGGTGGGCTTTGGTGGGCTGAGGACAATGTGGTGCACAGCTCCTTCCACACATCCCGTGAGCCTGACCTCACACACCTGATTTCTGCAGTATAGGGGGATCCAATACATGCAGGATCCAGATTTTTTCTGAGTCTTAAGAGCAGCTGGGAGAGACATGGAACATTTTTCCTAAGTGCCATTAGAAGGAAAAACACACAAAGCAAGAGGACTGCATCACTTCTAGTGCACACTTACTAGGATCCTTGCCCACTCATTGTTTTGACATCCTATTCAGATAATGACTGTAAAGTCCCAAGAGAGTCATACTCTGATACTTGCACTTCACTTGCAAATGGGTAGCTTTCCACAGAAATGAATGGGAGCTTCATCTCCTATGACACAAATGTCCATGGAGATTAGTTTGTGTATCTCCTGGGTAAGGCTTTGATGGTAAATCCTATTGTCTTTTTATTAACACTGGGCTGTACTGTATAATCCCAGGCTTCAAACTGCGCTTCCTTCCTTATATGTACTATGGCACTAAATCATGTCCATACAACTTGTTCCGCTTTCAGGCTATGATGCAATCTCTGAAGCACAGTGTGTATCTGAAGATATGGTCTCCAATGGAACTGATGAAAGTGGATTCTTCCAGAATGGCGCCTTTGATCACTGCTTGAATCACATTCCTTCCATCTATACAGATACCTAAGAGCAGTGCTGACCCTGTTGCCTTTATTATACTTATAACTGAGTATGTAATAACAAAGGTGTTGTTCAAGTACTTCTATTTAGTCTGTATCCCTATATGTGCTCATTTAAACAAACACCTCACATTTACCAAACCATTTTATACATGAATAGTCTGTATAAGATAATATTGGAACCTGTTCCTTTGCTGTGGCACTTTGAAATTCATGCTTTAAGGGAATGAGGAGCATTTCAAGCAGCTTGTTTTGTAAGTTCTCTCAGTAAAGTGTAAATGTAAGTTATATAATAAACTTGTAAAGAAGGGTTGTGTTTTTTCCTGCGAAGTATGTTTCAGTTTGAGAATGTTGTTCCCTTTAATCAGTTTTCATTTAACTCATTGGTCAACTCGTCTCTTTTTTTATTAACTAGAAGGATTTTTTTAATCACAGACCTCATGTATATAAAGATCTGCATTTGCTCGGCTGGTTTTATATTTTCAGTTTTACAAGAAAGCATTAAAAACTGGAAACAAGTGTCCTGTCGTTTCTTAACATCAGCAGTCTGCCTGATAAATCCTCATACCACATTCTGAAATGTCTGAGAGGGATTTAAACAAAGCAGTGACATTGCAGTAAGTGTGAATTTATAACAGCCCAAGTGTATGTGAAGGAAACTGAGGGTCTTGCAGGCTTCCAGTGAAAGGACCAGAGCCTTCCAGCACAGGGCAGCACCATGGGCTGGCTCCCCATCACTTGGTGCCCACTGGCCCTAGATGCCCTCCCAGCCTCCCTGCTGCCCCTGCCATGGTGGATGCATCAGCACAAGCAGTGTAAGGGAAGATTAAATGCAGCTGTGGTTGGCTCTGTGCCTTCACAAGTAAACATCTCCTCATCCCCTGTGAGATCAGGGGCATATTCACAGTGCACAAACACTAAGTGTGGGGCAGGTCACCTGATTTCTCTATTCACAAGACCTGGAAGCTGCTCTGACTTCAGGCAGGAAGGGCTTTGGGAGGGCTCTCCTCCATCCAAAGCAGTTGTCATCATTGGCTTCCAGAGGAACAGAGGTCACCTGCAGTAGCTTGGTTCCCTGTCACAGTGGCTCTGGCTGCATTTCCAGCCTAATCACGATTCCTTGGAGAAACAGGCATCCTGCAAGGGAACATGTGCTCCCATTCATGCCAACACAGGCAGGTCAGATATGAGCTCCTGAAAATGTCCCATGGTGGTTTGGGGAAACAATAAGCAGAAACTAACAAAAAAAACCCCAAACAACTGTTCTCATTTGCAAACCATTGCTTAGTTGGGCTTAATAAGGCACCCTAGGAGCAAGTGTATGGTTACCTGAAAGGCTTTATTCTGTCTCATACACAAACCCCAACCTCGGGAGATGTGGGACCTGCTGTCCTGCAGGTGTGGGTGCAGCCTCACAAAGGAGAAAGGGAGGCTGGGTTTGGATTAAATGAAGATAATTAGAGTTAGCATCAACTTTGCTCTTGCACTATGGACACCAGTAACACTAAATGCCCTAGCTGCCCTTGGCAGTGTCCACCTGTGTCTCCTGTACCAAATGCCACAGGGCAGAGCTCTTGAGAAAAGGCCAAAGGACATTTAGAGAGCAGGTCCAAGAGCGAAGCATGCAAGAGAAAACCATGTCCACACCACCACCAAGCCATTCCCACAGCTCCCACACCAGCATGTCTGCAGCAGCAGAGATGCCACACCAGGCATATGACAGCCTAAGGAGTCTATTGGGTGCCCATCCAAGCCAGGGGTGCACACCTGAAATGCTGCTGAGGCCTGAGAATTTTATCAGGAACAGGCAACTCTTCACAAGCACCATTCTCTACAGGACACCCACCTTGGGCATCAATAGATTTCGGGCCTTCATTTACAGCTCAAAGTTACCCAAGCGACCACCAAAAAGCTCACGCTGGGTTGAAACCAGCGAGTCACTGAGGATGGTACTTTCCTTCCTGTTTTCTTTCCCTTACCAGGCTCTGCTCAGCAGTGTGCCCACACAAGCTGTCAAGGACCCTCTCTCATGCCAGGTATGTCAGTCACAGTGAAAGGCTTGCACCAACCTGCCCAGACACATGGGGCACAGCTCAGGTCCAACACAGCACCTGGTGCCCCAGCCTCGGGAGGACCCAGCGGGCATCCCGGTGCCACTGTGCCTTTCCTCAGCCACAGACCCTGGAAAAACAGGGGAAAAACCCCGGCGACCATCTGTCACAGCAGCATGTCCAGCACCGCTCTGAGCTCCATCTGGGCTAACTGGAAAGCATGGATGCATTTTAGTTCTTTCTCCAGGGCCTGGCTCCCCCTTGTTAGTGCAGATGAAGGGGACTCTGGATCCAGTTTGGCTCTCTGGCTTCAAGAAATCTGAAATCTTAGGCTGAGAAAGTTGGGGCTGTTCAGCCTGGAGAAGAGAAGGTTGCATGGAGACCTCATAGCAGCCTTCCAGTATCTGAAGGGGGTCTAGAGGGATGCTGGGGGTGGACTCTTCATTAGGGACTGTAGTGACAGGACAAGGGGTAATGGGTTAAAACTTAAACAGGGGAAGTTTAGATTGGATATAAGGAGGAAATTCTTTCATGTAAGGGTGGTGAGGCACTGGAATGGGTTGCCCAGGGAGGTTGTGAATGCTCCATCCCTGGCAGTGTTCAAGGCCAGGTTGGACGAAGCCTTGGGTGATATGGTTTAGTGTGAGGTGTCCCTGCCCATGGCAGTGGGGCTGGAACTGGATGATCTTAAGGTCCTTTCCAACCCTAACCATTCTGTGATTCTATGAATCTATGAATGAAATGCAGACATTGAGGAAGTTTTACAGTTAATCGCTCCAGAACAAGATGCACGGGGTTATGTGACCCCTCTTTTATAAGCAGTTCCTCAAGATCTCAAGCTCCCAAGGACACCCAGTCCCAGCTGCAAACCTGTGAACTGTGGCTGCCCTGCCTGGCCCAGGCAGTCCCTGGCAGCGCTGACTCAGCATTCCTCTCTTGGAATTAAAATGCATAAAGGCTCCAAATTGTGCCTTAAGCCTAGGCACGTGGCTTTGCTTCTGAGTACTGCCCCATCTGCTTTCTGTCCTGTTGCTTTATCTGCTCTGATGCGTCAGAGGTTTGGGTTGGTTTGGGTCTCAGAAGTGGCCAGAACTCTTTCCTGGAACGTTAAACAAGGAGGCAGGTAGCTTAAAAACTGCCAAGCAGTAAAACTTGAAAGCTTTTAAAGGAAGACGTAGAAAGAACACATCCAAAGGCCAAGAAAGCTACAATGGCTGAGACAAAAATCAAAATAATTCCTGTGATTCAATTAGTTGGAGACGTTAAAAGGAAATCGTGTCTTAAAAAGCAGATTAATCTCATTTCCTCAAAATTAAAGAAATCCTTCTAAAAATGCCAATTTTATTTTTTTTTAAGTGAAAAATACAAACCAACCGAACCTAACCAGACTTGATCAATTACAAAAATATTTCTGTCACAACAAGCAGGCTGTTCAAAACCACACAGTGATTCACAAAGGTCTGGGAGACGTAAAGCAGAGCAGCTGGAGTGATGATTTCATTCCAGAATCTGTGTGAATCAGGTTTTCTGTAAATTGAAAAGCTGGATTGAGAGAAATGCAAAAGCTCTCCTTTGTACAGTTTGGAAAGTTATCCATAATAAAAGCATTAAAATGCACAATAGCATCAGTTAATGTGTGCTTGAGTACTTCATTATGCCCTTTTTATTACATGTAAGTAGGGAAGTATCTCATGTAAGCTTTTCCTAAAGACACAAAGAAACCTTTCAATGGAATTTATTGCTTGGCAAGTTTGTCGTTGTGGTGCTGTAAAAACCTCACCGACTAATACGTATAATAACTGGAGTAAGGCTTTATAACAGCAGAAAATTATTACCCTGTGGAATTAAAATGGAACTGCTGGTTCCATTTCACTGTCAGATACTTTTTCAATCTAGGCAACAAAACTCAAATAATAAATTACAAACCTACTTTATAAATAGCCACAAATCATTTCCCCAGTGAATGAAAACCCCATGCCTATGTACTCGGTGCGTACGCAGGACGCTTTAGGAACGCCTGCAACAAGATGACCTTCAGTGGCTGATCAAGCTGGGAGAGAGAAAATGAGTTTCAAGAGTTGACACTGAAGCAGCTGAAGCGCTTCTTTGCGCTCTCCACCAGCTGGGATGGAAGCCAAACGTTCAGCAGGACTTCTACATTTTTAATACGATCAAGCTCAAGCTTTTCATTGTATAGAAAACCAAAATGCTTGTTCTGGTCCCATTTACTAGCTGCAGTACTTCACAAGCTATAGAAGTATTCATCCTTTCAGCGATACAGAGGTGCCTTTGCAAGCGAGCAAAGGAGATGTACACACGTGGCATATCATGACAAAAGAATGCTGTTTTAATGCCATAACTCTGATGTGGCAACATGACCCAGGAATTTGTGAGACCAAAGCCTCAGGCCTGCAGTAGGAATGGTGACAGCCTGTGGCAGGTATCAGATATCCTCCCGTGTATACAGAGTTAGTACATCTTCAGGTCATATTCTCTAGTTAGGTACACACCAAACAGCAGGACCAGCTCCCTGCGGAGGGGCTTCTCTGCTTCTGAGACTGTCCTTTCAAGTGGATACACTTTGTAAATGGGAATAGTCCAAACCAACAAATTCCAGAGCACATTATGAGCACCGACCCGATACTGCAATAGATGTCAGTTGCGCAAGCAGTGCAAAAAACCCCCACTTCTTAAAACAACAACCAAGCATGTGAAAATAAACAGCGACTGTAAATTGAATTTAAATTGCATAAGAGTCAAAGATTTCAATGGTTTTTTGTTATGATCTTATTAAAACCTACACCGGTTTCGTTCGGTTCTCCAGCAATGTATTTGTATTAAATTAAGAGATCAGTGCAACAGAAGAAAAATAGCCAGTCTGTATGACTTATTGCACTGACACCAAAAAGCCATTGGACTCTTCCCTCCTGAAACAAGCCCTTCTGAGATCTGCAGTTGCAGTGAAGGCTCCTCTCTTAAATTTCAAAGCAAACTGCAAAGCCCCTTATGTGATTTTGAAGTCCATGGCCCAGAATCAGCACAACAAGAGCTGTAGACATCTACATTGTCAAGGCCTTGCAAGGTTGCATACCTCGGCACCAGGGGCTGTCAGCCACTCATGGCTGCAAAACCAGTCAAACCACGAGGGAGGCTTTTCTTCAAAGCATCTAACCCATAGAAAGTCCCACTCTAGCTGAGGACTGAGCTTTCTACCTGATTTTTAGTGAGATGAAAAGATGTTTGCCCATTCCTTTGGCA